TGCAGAATCTCTTCTTGAAGTAATCACTGTGGGGGCTGGTTTGTAAATCTACTCACTCTCCACCCCGGCTAATACATGGACTTTTGGTGCTTGACTTCCCACAGCTCCACCTAGAGCATCCTCAAGGAAGAAATGTGTGAAGTTTTTCTTTTCATCTTCGTTTCCTAAAGTCTGGGAGTCTTTATTGCTTTTCTACCCAAGCGTCTAAAGCCTGAAATCTGTACCTTTTTACCACACCCTTGCTGAGCCTACTGGAGTCCCTTCTTTTCTAATTCAACACTTCTCAGTCAGATCTTCACTGCTTTGAGATCTTGAACAAATTGTTTTTGTTTACATGAAGTTGTAAGCTCACGTCTCTAGGTATTTCCTAGGCTGAAGCATCACTGTACACGTTTTGCCCAGATTGTTTCTTCTCGTTATGCGTTTTACCTTTTTAGCCATTACTGTTGGATGTACTATGATTCTTGATGTGACCCATGTGGCTCATTTGATCGCCAGAGTCCTGTTACTGTCCTGTGGACATCATGGTCTTTCATTAAAAAGAGATGGTGACATTTGCATGTGTGTCAGCGCCCCCCCCCATTATACTGCTCAGTACCTCCATACAAACTGGAGGTTTCTATTTCTCATTATCTCCCTGTCAGAGCCTCTCCTCTAGTTCCCAATTCATGGGGCTAGATAAAAACTGTATCGAGAATATTTGTAATTAAGATTTTGTAGGACACTTAATCAAGTGCGTTAATGGGTTTCTGATGCATCACAGCTGCTCAGTTTCACAGACTCTTTTATGGAAATAAAGGGAAGATTTGTTTTGCAGCAACCTCTTTACCATGTACCGTATTTTCTTTAAAGTTTTAATCTCATGAGCTCTTATGGGATTGATGAGAGTTTTGAGCTAAACATTGTTTCTTTATATTTTTGGCTACCTTTCCTTTTCCTGGACTTCCATGTTTATCCATTAGTGCCTCTCTGTGCCTCTCTGCACTTAGACTGGCCAGGAGCTTCTCTTAGCTGGAGACCTTCTGGTGTCGGTACTTACAAGAAGTAGACATTGCCTTGTTCCCCTCTGTCCTGTGGTCAGATCTGATCCTTCTCCTCCCCACCCCATACAATATTTGACTTTCTTCTTGTCATAGGACATGCTACCTTCCGAGCTCATTGTCTCAAATACTTGATCAGCAGCGGTGTTGTTGTTTCCTTCCTACTTGGAAGTTAGATGCACATCTAACTTGGCTGAGGAGAACGGAAGAGAGGGAAAGGTGGAGGAGATGGGAGAGCCACTCTGTGACATGGGATGGCTCTCTTCTCCCTTGCTGATTGTTGTATTCCAAACCATCTTTACCCAGAGACTGGTCATCTCATATAACCACTGTTTAAAGATATGGAAGTCCTAACATTCCTGTTTGGCTTGAGTATTTAAGGTTAGACTGGGATTACTTAACATTGCCTCAGCTTCACCCAAGGAGGTATAAATACTGACTCTGGCATTCTTACTCATCATTTCTAGGTCTAGAGAAGTTAATCTTTGCCTTTTGTTGTTGTTGTTTTTAGTTGAACTAGTGTGCTGTCTTAAGGATCAGAACCTAGAGAAGAATTGAGAGATGGGATATTCTGTTGTTATTTTCAAGTCTGATTCTGATATAGACTCTTCAGAGGGCTATTGATACCTATTTCCAAACATTGATTTGCCATCGTTTTATGTTTATATTGCTTTAAAGTCATTTAAGTTGAGTTACTTCATTAGCTAATGTCTTACATAATCTCGCTATGCGGTCAGTGATCTGACATCATCATAATGACCGCAATCATCTTTGATTCTCATGATTCTCCCACAGGGCAGGTTCGCTGTGTTTCTTTTCATTCTGACGAGCAGCCCCTAGCACCTCCCTTGTCTCTTCATGGCTTCAAATAGTCCTTGACTGTTTCCTCTCAGTTTCAGAATAGTAGACAGACATGGAGCTAACAATTCTTAAAATACCTTTTACTTTTATGTGAAAATACACAGTGGTTTAAAAGGCTTTCTTTGTATTGAAATGATGAATTTTTGTGGAAAAACTAGGATTTTTATCTGACTGAAGACTGGACCAGAAGTTAGATATACTCTAAATACAATGTGGAGGATTTCAAGTTTCTAGAACATGGATCAACTGAATAACCTCCAGTGTTTCATTTGATCAGAATATCCATTCAGTGTCATGCCAGCCCCTTTCCGGGTCCCCTTAGCTGTCCCAAGGTCCGTTTCACTCCCACTTGAGATACTACAATCTCACAGGGATGGAGTGTTCTCAAGTGTTCCAGTTATAAAACTCTTGTATTTCACAAAAACAGTTTGGCTTTCTTCTCCCTTAGCTTGGAGGTAGACCACATAAACCCTTAGCTCTGTAAATGTTTACTTCTGAGGGATCTTTTAAAAAGAATTTATGAGTAAAAAAGCACTGTGATTTATTTTACATATATATATATATATATATATATATATATATATCAAATACATAAATTCACAAGCTTCTTGACAAGAGCAGCACCTAAATCAAATTTTCTCAGCAGAGAAAAATGTGAATATTTCTTTTACGTTGTAGTACTTTTGAATTGCTTCAGTCACGTCTTACCTTTGTACAAGGAGGTAGAGAAGTCATTGACTCTATAGTGAAGTATCCAATGTTTCCTCCCAAGTTACTTCTTAATTGCAATGAGAAAGCAGCATCTTTTTTCTGGAAGAGTTTGATAGACACACTTTTCCCAAGAGATCAAACTTACCATGACTCACAGAGGACAGAGACATGTATAATCTGAACTTTAATTACACGGAAGCAACAGAATCCCCAGATTGAAGGATGAGCTACCAAGTGACTGGCCTGTATTTATTAACATTTCCTAACCGTTTCTAGAAGATAAACCTAAGATGCTTCCAGATTCAAGAAAAGCAAAGATAATCTGAGAAGTAAATGCAATCCATTGCCCTGGGTCTGACCTTAGATTAGAAAGATAAAATAATGATAATAGATGTTCCTAGCATAATGGTCGCTGTTGGAGTGCATTCTTTGTACTGGGCACTAGTAGACCATTGTTAAATTTCCAAATTTTGAAGATAATTTGTTATATAAGAAAATAACCTTGTTTCCAGGAAACATATTGAAATGTTTTAGTATGCTCTCTACAATTTATTTTCATCTGGTTCAGAAAAGAAGAAATGGAGAGAGGAGGGAAGCAGGAGAGAGAAAGCAGCACCAGGGTAAATGTGACTCACTGATAGACCTGCATCGGTGTCAAGTTCAGATTTTCTGTCCTCCTACAGATTTTCTGAACATTTGAAATTTTATCCAAAAAATTTTAAAAGAAGGGTATACAGAGCTGAAAGTGTTTGGTTTATGGAAAATTAATGTATTTTCTCATTGACTTGATTAGCCCTTCAGTTAGAGGACATGAATCCATGTCAGTGAACTATTGGATTTTGATCCAAGAACTTCAGAAAGAGAGCAGAAAACCGGCTATTTGTCTTAAATTGCTCCAAGTCTAGTTGAGGAGAAAAAGCACACGAACGCTAAACGAGATAAAACAATGTCGTAAGTTAATTGTCCATGGCGTTTAATATTGCCTTCAAGTGGGTCTCCAACTGTTTCCTGTAAAGGGCCAGATGGTAGATATTTGAAGCTTTCTGGTAATTGTAGTCTCTCACAAGTGCTTGGCTCTGAAGCAGCCGTGGGCTCCGCCCGGGCCCCGTGTTGGCTGAACCCTGTTCTGAAATGGAAACTGAGTCCTTGTTACAGGACTGGAGTGACATTCATGGCGAGTTCATAAAGGTGTTGCTTGTATGAAAGGGTGAGGGCGTGGGGTGGCCAGGACCCTGGGGTGAGTACACCTGTGGAGTTGAGATACGCACAGCGCTGCCCATCAGCACTGGCGAGTTCATGCAATGGGCATGATGATCAGAGCAGCTCTACTGAGCTGTTCAGAGTCCCACGGAGACCGTTGTACTCTGACTTCTCACTGAGCCTCTAACAAGGTTTTCTTCACATATTCCAGAAGGATCTCACACAACAAATTGGACCGTGTCCTTCCCCTGCATGAACCCCTCCTTACTTACAATGGTATCCAAGCCATTCTTGCCCATAACACTTTCTTCCCTCTTCCTCTGGCCTCTAGTCTTCCCGCATCTGGCCCACCCCATTCTCTTACACTACAGGGCTTTGGGATTTACTTTTCCCTGGGCCCTGGACATTATCGTACTGGCAGCCAGTGGCCATTCATTTGTTCCTTCACATTTCACATTAAAAGGATTCTTCCCCCTGATCACAATTCAGCACATCTCCGTCTCATCTTTTCATTCTCCATCATTGGATGGTCTGTTGTCTGTCTCTTCTCTGTTCATACATGTCCTGCATGGAACACAATGTGTCTGACTTATCATTACTGTAGCCCCAGCCCTAAGCATGCTTCCTTCCCACGTACACGTTTCTACTAGGCTGTAGCTCAGTAGTGGAGTGCTTCCCTAGGATGCCCAAGTACCTGGGCTCCATCCCCAACACAGTTAAGACAAAGAAGTTGGTAATCAATAAATAGGTGTGGAACTGATATAATGAGTTGACGGTGATCCAATCTAGGTCATTACTGAGCCATCACCAAAGGTAAACTTGACCATTGCTAGTGAGCTGTGATGCATACTCATTGACCTGTGATAATAAGGCTTAAATGTATGACCTCCTAAGAGATGCTCAAAGATCTATATCTATTTGCCCTATAGAAAGAGAAGTCACAGAGCCACTTACAGCCAGGATTTGATTGTGCAGATTCTGTGATTAATAAAATTAATAATTAAGTCTATGCATGAATTTTAATGGTTTTCCAGGCTTTCAAGCTGGCAGGACAAACTTCTTTCCCTGCTTCCCCACCATTTTTCTGTGGGCTTCGGTGAGCTCTGCCTTAGGGACAAGGAGGAGAGAGGCCGGTGCTTTGGGGTCTTGGCTGGATGCTGGAGTAATCGGATTCCTTTGTGGTTCTAGATGTTCATACGGAAGCCGTGCAGGCGGCGCTTGCGAAACACAAAGAAAGGAAGATGGCCGTACCTATGCCTTCCAAACGCAGGTCCCTGGTTGTGCAGACCTCCATGGATGCCTACACACCTCCAGGTGAGAAATGCCACAGCTTCAGCTGCGTGTACATGGCCAGTGTGCCCTAGAAGTGACCAGTTACCAGCCCCTCAGACACCGTCTCTTCAGCTTTGCAAAGAAGAGTGCAACAACCTAGGTTTTTATGAACAAACCCACAAGTCCCCAAAACAGTAAAGAAGTTAAACTATACTGGGAAATGAACACATTATATATGCTATTACATATGAACCTATACAAACAGGCATTTTTATATTATCCATGAAGACTCAAATAGAATAGTCTTATATAAAGTTTAGTTTTTCATATAGAAAAGAGTTTGTGCCCATATAACTAAAGTTGAACTTTTACTTGGACAGGTACATCTCAAAGTCTTTATAATATAAATACACTGTGTTGCTTAAGAAATCAAGTGCACTCGATAATTAAGGCAGTTTCTGGGTCAGGAGGAAGGGATACCTGGGAAACACCGAGCCTGCTTCTGCAGGTCAGGTGCCAGTCGCATTTCCTTAGATCTGTCATGGCAAGGAAAACAGCCATGGCCATGCGAATGGTTGTATACCAATAACTACACAGCCAAATGGTAGACCTGATTCTCTCTACTGATCTACCAACCCCTAATCTAAATGACTGAAAGGAATGGTCTTTATATTTCTGTTACCATATTCTGTGGCCATTTACTCTGTAATAAAATACTTGTTCCTGGGTATTTTATGAAGAAGAGAAATTTTCTTAGCTCACAGGTTTAGAGGTTCAAGACCATGGTGTAACAGTTATGGTGATTCACATATGTAAACATGGCTACTTGGGGAGGGGGGGAGAAATTGGGAGGATGGCAGTTCAAGTCCAGCCCAGGGACAGTGTTAGTGAAATTCTATTATAAAAGCTGTGCTTGTTGGTGCATATACATCATCCCAGCTAAGCTGGAAACCTCAGTAGGAGGTCAAATCCAAGACTGATCTGGGCAAAAATCTCAAGACACTATAAACCAAAGGGGGCCGGGAACATGGCTCAAAACAGTAGAGTACCTTCCTAACAAGTACAAAGGTGGAGGGCATTCAGAAAACAAAGGAAGAATGTGGCTCTTGCCTGTGCATGGCTCTGGTGAGGCCTGGTCGCATGCTGGGCAGGCCACAGCTTGATGGGAGGGAGGGAGATAGCGAGAGCAGGAAGGCAGAGGTGAGTGGACGGAGGCTTGTTCCCTTTCTGACAACTTGCTTTTTAAGGAATTGGGTGGGGTCCTGTGGGAACTACTGTTGTTCCTTCTGAGGGTATACACCCCACTTCTGGTAGGTTCCGCTACCTCCCAGTGTTTGTTCACTGGATACCTAGCTTGCAATATGGGAACCTCCGGAGGGCAAAGTCAAACCACAGCCACTCTTTGACACAAGCTAGTTATGCTTAGCAGTAGCTTATGTATTTGTGACTGTGTTTGAGCAAACTCACAGCTAAATTATCTCTCATTCATTTTCCTTGGTTGCTGGAAGCAGTTGTGAGAACAGCGCTCATCTCCACTGCCCTTCAGAGAAGATTTCTGAAGTTTATCTTCTCTGCGGACATGATGGTTATCACCATACCTGGCTGGATATTATTCATAATTATTATTGTGTTTTCAGTAGTTCTTTGTCCTCCAATTAGTTATTATTATTCTTCCCATTTAAATGTTTCAGAGCTTCGCATCTTCCATCTTGACATCTCGCCTAATTCACTTGTAGGTAGGACCCTAAGTGTCCTTTCCCTGAAGTTCAAATAAACAGACTCGTTAAAAACTCATTCTTAAAACTTGCTAACTAATAAACTAGTCAGTGAAAATATTTCCACTAATTTCAATGAAAAGAAACCCAAGTGTGATTTTTCTTGGCCCAAATTGTCCAACTTTCAAAGATGGAAGGTGAAAATACCTTGTATAACAAATGAATATTATAAGAGAGTTTCAACAAAAATGTAGTGTTCTAGAAGCTTGTGGTATGCCCCAAATGAAAAGCCAGAGACCCCAATAATGCAAGGAAGTGGGGCTGTGCACTTTTTCTTCTTTTTTTTTTGAAGTTGCACATAAAGGGTTTAATGCCCTTCTTTTGATACAATTTCTTTATCAGAAACTCAATCTATTTTTTATTTTTGAAATTTTTATTAGTGATGTTAATTGTGCAAATAAGTTCATGGTATTCCCCTACACGCATAGCATATGTTTTAATCGAATTCACTCTTTATCATTCTTATAGTAACACAGTCTTTAAGTAGGCTGGGGGAGTGGGGGGAAGGTGTTTACACTAAGCCTAAAAATACATTGTGACTCAGAGAAGCATTTCAGGACTACCAAAGACTACAAGCAGGCACACCTTGATATGTGAAAACAAGATATACACCTGTCTCTTAGAATAAGGACAGGGTCCTCATTCAGTAGATATATGCAAAGAAAACATTGGCTCCCCCTGCCCTGCCTGTTGTACTGTATTCAGGAAATTGTTGAATGTCTCTGCCCAGTATTTTAATGGCAAAAGTTTTGTTGTTTGTTTTTTTTTTGGTCCGGTCGTGGGGCCTGAACTCTGGGCCTGAGCGCTGTCCCTCAGCTCTTCAGCTCAAGGCTAGCGCTCTACCACTTGAGCCACAGTGCCACTTCCGGCTTTTTTCTTTTTGCTGATGTGGTGCTGAGGAATCGAACCCAGAGCCTCAGGCATGCAAGGCAAGCGCTCTACCACTGAGCCACCTTCCCAGCCCCAATGGCAAAACTTCTTACAGCATATTTAAGGCATTATTGTACATAAAAGTCACCATAGTAGGGAGAAAAAAGATAACATTATCTGAAAAGTGGTCTACTGTTTCAAGAGTGCTTGACACAGTCCAATGATTATGAGTAGTTGTGACAGGAGGCGAGTCTGGGTGGGCAGTGCATGGAGGGGTTGAGATGGGGCTTTCATGAGTAACTCCTTCTTCTACACAGACACTTCTTCTGGTTCTGAAGATGAAGGCTCTGTGCAGGGCGATTCCCAGGGAACCCCCACCTCCAGCCAAGGCAGCATCAACATGGAGCACTGGATCAGCCAGGCCATCCACGGCTCCACCACCTCCACCACCTCCTCCTCTTCCACACAGAGCGGGGGCAGTGGGGCGGCACACAGGCTGGCAGATGTCATGGCCCAGACGCACATAGGTGAGTATGTTGGGGGAGGGGGGTGTTACACAGTTCCAGGTATCTGCTCCCATTGTGGTCTCAGCAAACATTGAGGGCTCGATTTGTGCATGTTCTGACTGCAGAATCTATCGGACAGACACAGGACAGGACCCCTGTGATGCCTGGGGTGCTTTGATTTTACTGTTTTCCAGAACTCTGGCTCCTTCCAGTGCTGGAATTTCAGGAGATTTCTGTCCTTGAAGGAGTGCATTTGTATTCACAGGAGAAGCTTGGAGCCCTGTCTGCTCACATTTTTTTTTTAAATCTCACTTATACTAAAATATGCCCCTCCAGAAGTTTTAATGGTGCCAATAAATAAGACAGGATTGTAAAATAGAGTTGTTGTTACTCTGGGAATTGTTTTAGGAAGCTAGGTGACAGGGGCTCAATCTTTGCTCTGCTGTCTAATGCTGTTTTCTGCATTTGTTTTCTGCAAATTCTGTTCTGATTTCTTAGGCATATCATAAGATTTTTTGTGTAGATTTGATTATAAGGGAGATCTTCTGAGTTAGAAGCAACACAAGGTTGGTAGCGTTGCCCTGCTATTTGAATGTAGAGAAGGCGATAAAATGAGAATTATTACAGGAAAAGGGTAGGAGTGTTTTGTCTGGGAGGGTGGTCACGAACTATGGGTGAAAGTAGGTATGTCGTTATTTTTTTAAAGTATTTCGGGTTAATGTGGAAGTACTAAATTTCAGTTTCACATATTTTCAGGAACATATACACCAGCCTGTGAGCTCTAGTAACCTCTAGTTGAAATCACAGTAAATTAAACATTGTACAGAAATAAATTACTATCAAATATTTTTAGACAGTGAAATTTCTTTTACTGCACACGTGTCAGAACCGAGTCTCTATCAGCTTTATCTGATGTTAGCTGATTTTCTCAGCCAAGCACAGGGGTAAGACACAACCTCTTCTTTTTGGAATTATTTGCCTTCTCCCCTTTTGTTCAGCTTTAAAGAGATGCTCAGAAGCATGTGAGGAGGGATGTGTATTTTTGAACAAATTAACCACCGCATCCAGTTTTCCCTTTGTGAGTTTACAGTTGGAATACTAAGGGAAATTGTAGCATGGAGAATTAAATTTATCCAAACTATAAAAGGTTACATTAGTCATGTACATCAAGGCTTGATGTAACCTAAATATAAGTCCTGGTGTGTGACATTTCAGTAATTTCTCATTTGGCACAAAAATAAGTTCCTAGAATATCTGTTAGGTTTTTCTTTTTTTTTTTTTTTAAGTATGATTTTTTTTTTTAAAGTGTTGGCTCATGCCTGTAATCCTAGCTACTTTAAGAGGCTGAAATCTGAGGATCATGGTTCAAAACCAGCCCCGGTAGGAAAGTCTGTGAAACTCTTACCTCTAATAAGCCACCAGAAAACCATAAGTGGCACTGTGGTAGAGCGCTAGCCTTGAGCTGAAGAGCGCAAGGACAGCGCCCAGGCCCAGAGTTCAAGCCCCATGGAAGCAGTGACAAAATAATTAAATCTGATGAGAACTAAAATACTTTATTCCTGTGACCAAACAAAAAAAGCAAAAAAGTCAAAGTTGAGAGCATTTCACGTTTTGTTGAGGTCAGGGTTTTGTGTGAGCTGGAGTGTTTGAAAGAGCTCACGGCAAAGCAACCTCTGAGTTGTGTTTGTGAGCCCTGGGCAGAATTACCATCGCCCCCTCCCCAGGTATGTTTGCTGAGCCCAGAAAGACACTCCACCTGGGGACTGCAGAGACACCTTGTACACAAAGAAGGAAAGCCAGAGGAAAGCCAGGGCATCCAGGACCATGCAATCTCCTCCAAAGTGGGCCATTCTTCATTTGTTGCTAAAGCGAAATCTCAAGTGCACCTAGTTTTATTCCACAAATTTCATTAAGTAGGGACCTCTTCCAGGCAGGTTTAGCTTGGGATGATAAATTCTTCTCTGGATTTTTTTTTCCTTTCCCTTTTCTTCTGCTCAGCTTGCGGTGTCTCTGGTGAGGGCTGCTCCTGCCTATCCACAGCAGACAGCCCAGCCTGGCACCCCACTCACCTCCTGCAGCACTGGTAGATAATCCATGGGCCCCATCCAGGCCCTCGCTCTCTCGTTGTTTTTGTTTAAAGAAGATCATTTATTTATTGTTATTATCCCTAAGTAGTTGTACAGAGAAGTTGCCATTGAATGAAGCCGTTTGTGAATGCAGTGGGTCTTGATCAGTGTCACCCTTTTCTCCATTCTCACCTGTCCCCTCCAGCCCCTGCCCAGCCCCCACCACTGTTAACTTTGTAGGATGTACATTGGATTCCTAACTGTGTCCCTCCCCTTCTCCTCTTCATTTGCCTACTCCTTGACTCCACCCCTTTTAAGTACCTGTTTCCTGGTGGTGTTTGTTTTGTTGAACGTTGACTTCGCTCTTCTAAGGAATAACTGTGAGCTCTCCCTTGAATCTACTATATTTCGGTTAGTACATTTGTTTGTATACCCTTGCATACCACCAAACGAAGGAAAGCATGCTACTTTTGTCATTTTGGTCCAGATTTAGTTCAGGTAACATAATTTTTTCCAGGTCTTTCTATATCTTTACAAAGGATACAATATCATTATTTCTAGTGGATGAGTAAAATTGCATTGTGTGTATCCACCACATTTTCTTGATCTATTCATCCGTTGATGGGGCAGCTGGGCTGATTCCATACCTTGGCTATGGTGAATAGTGCTGCAAAGGACATGGTTGTGTCCTTGGTTTGTCATCTTTGAAATGCCCAGGAGTGGAATTCCTGGAATTGAGGAACCTCTACGCTGCTTTCCAGAGTGGTTAAATGTTTACATTACCACCCACAGTGTAATAGGGTTCCCTTTTGGCTAAATCCTTGCCAGCATCTGTTATTTATTGTTTATTTTCTTGATAATGGCCATTATCATAATGGGCTGAGGTAGAATCTCAAGGTTGTTTTTACTTTCATTTCCTTTATGGCCAGAGATGTCACTTCATATGTTTATTGGACATTCTGAGAAGACTCTTTTTAGCTCATTAGCCCATTTATTAATTGGGTTGATGCTCAGGCATGGCTCAAGAGGTAGAGTGACAGCTATGAGTAAAAAGCTGAGGTAGCCTGGCACTGGTAGCTCAGATCTCAGCCTCCTGAGATATTCTGAGGATTGCAGTTCAAAGCCAACCAGGGTAGGAAAGTTCGTGAGGTTCTTTTTTTTTTTTTTTTGTCGGTCGTGGGGCTTGAACTCTGGGCCTGGGCGCTGAGCTCTTCAGCTCAAGGCGAGTGCTCTACCACTTGAGCTACAGTGCCACTTCCAGTTTTCTGGTGGTTTTATTGGAGATAGGAGTCTCATGGTCTCTCCTGCCCGGGCTGGCTTTGAACCGCGATCCTCAGATCTCAGCCTCCTGTGTAGCTAGGATTACAGGTGTGAGCCACCAGCGCCCGGTGAGGTTCTTATCTCCAATTAAATACCAGAAAACCAAAAGTGGTGCTGTGGCTCAAGTGGTAGAGTGCTCACCTTGAGCTGAAGAGCTGAGGACAGCGCCCAGGCTCAGAGTTCAAGCCCCATGACCAACAACAACAAAAAGCTGAGTGTAAGAGGCCTTGAGTTCAATCTCTAGTACCTGCACTAATATATATATATATGTATATATATATATATATATGTATATGTATATATATATATATATAAATTAGGGTTCCTCTTTATCTCAAGAACCACAATGAATGTGGAACATTCATTTAATACTACATTAACTAGAATGTAGTATTAAAATCCTTAAGGTTTGGAAATACAGCTGTCCAGTACATTGCTTGCCTAGCTTGCACAGGGACCTGGTTTCCATCTCTAGCACCATCAAAACCAAAACAAAACAAGCAAAAAAACCAAAGACCTATATAATAACAACAACTAAAAGGGAAAGATTTATATTCTAAAATATTATAATCAAAAGTTGAATATTGTAACTATAATAACAAGTACCTTTCATGGGAATGCTTTCAAACCTTAAGAAGTATATTTGTAAAATATTCAGAATAAAAGAATATCCAAATTATTTAGCTAAATAGAAGTGGAGAAATTGAAGAGACAATCCATATGAATACATTTCTAATAAGAACAAAGAATTGACAACAGTTTTATTGTTTTATATTTAGATGTTTTCATAAGCTCTTCTTAGTTTTCATCTCCAAATGCATTGTGAAAGCCTCTGTAGACATCTGATGATGCTGTCACAAGGTGTGTTAGGGTATATTTCATTAACCGGGTATTCACAGAAATAATTGCCATCTCCAGTGTGGAATTCTGGAAATTCACTTGACATCAATGCTGCTTTCAGTAATCTTATTTTTATTTGTAACCAAATTCCCATCTGACTTATTGCCTCTGTCTCTGCCAAGAAGAAAGGAAGTCAGCAAGCAAACCACATCCACCCTGAGATGTATTTCATCTTTACCTCACTTGCAACAATTGTACATTTTGATTCTAGGTTCTGTGGTATTAGGGAATTTATTCAGACATGTAAAATAGCCACTGTGATAATAAATTACTCTTATTTGCTTATGTGAAATCATTCCAAGTATTATTGGTACCTTTTCCAAACATGTATAGTCCTTCAACCTCTGCATATGTATAGGGGCTGGTGATATTACCAACACAGCTCCCTGCCTCACCCGCCCCTCTCACTTAGGACATCCTGGCCATAAGAGCAGTTTCTCCTTTAAGGAGCAAGTGAGTTATTATTTCAGGCTCTGTGGCCCCATGTGGCTGTGGGAGCACAAAAGCAGCTGGTCCATTACACAAAAGAATGTAAACCAAAAAAAAATGGCCATGATTGTGTACCAGTAAAACTTTATTTATTCTAACAGGTGGCAGACAAACCCCTACCAACCTGTTTCAGGATTTTAAGCCTCTCTAATACAAAAAGAAAAACATCATTCAGTCACAGCATCCGATCTAACATTAGCTAACACCAGGCAGCAGCATTACACTCCTCTCCCAGTACCGTGTGGC